TTTGCAAAGTGAATGTTTTATACTTTGCTCTGTCTAGTAGCTTCCCAGGTATCGATGTCAGGCTGACTGGTCTATTGTTCCCCGCTCCTCCTTTTCCCTTGTTTTAAAGTTGGGCACTACATTAGCCCTTCTCCAGTCTTCCGGGACCTCTCCTGTCATCCATACTTTTGCAAATATTATTGCCATTGGCTCTGACATTTCTTCAGCTAATTCCTTCAATACTCTCGGGTGAATAGCATCAAGCCCTGCTGATTTGAATTCATTCAAGTTGGTCAGAATTTCTGTGATGTGTTCTTTACTTTGCCCAATCTGCATGCCTTCCCCTTTATTGTCTATGTTCACTTCACTTGTCATCCAGTCACATGTTATTTTTTGTGAGAAGACAGGAAGGCAGAGCTGCTCAATGCCTACTTTGTTTCAATCATCTTCTGTTACCAGCTCACCGTCTCCATTGAGCAGTGGACCCACACCGTCATTGATCTTTCTTTTTTGTCTGTCATATTTGAAGAACCCCTTCTTATTACCTCTAACATTCCTTGCCAGCTGTAATTCATTCTTGGCCTTGGCTTTCCTAATTTTGTCCCTACATACTTGCGCTATTCCCATGTATACTACCTTGGTGACATGCTCCTCCTTCTATTTCCTGTATGTATCCCTTTGGGGTTTTAGATAGCTAAAAAGCTTCTTGTGCAGCCACATTGGCTTCCTGTGGCCCTTCTTATCTTTCCTCTGCATTGGAATAGCTTGATGTTCAGCATCCAGTATTACATCTTTTTAAAACTGTCAGCCCCCTTTGACTCCTTTTCTTCTTAATTGATCTTTTATGGGGCCTTGCCTACTATTTATGAGCTGGTTGAAATCTGCCTTTCTGAAGTCCAGTGTCCTTGTTTAGCTGTTCTCATGTCCTCCTTTCCACAGGACCAGGGCCGGCTCTGGCTTTTTTGCCGCCCCAGGCAAAAAAGCCTCCGGCCGCCCCGGGGGGAGGGCGGCGAGCCCCGGCGGGGGCTCCGCTCTCCCCCCGGCGGCCGGGGGGAGGGCGCCGGGGGGAGGGCGGCGAGCCCGGCCGTGGCCCCGCTCTCCCCGGGGGCCGGAGCGCCGCGCCACCCCCCTCCAGGTGCCGCCCCAAGCACAAGCTTGGTGGGCTGGTGCCTGGAGCCGGCCCTGGACAGGACCTTGAATTCTATCAGATCATGATCAGTTCCTCCCAAGTTTCCAACCACCTTTACAGTCACAACTAATTCATCCCTGTTGGTCAAAACCAGATCCAAAATGAATGACCCCCTAGTTATTTCCCCAACTTTCTGATTCAGAAAGTTGTCCACTTACACATGCTAAGAATGTGCAGGACGTATTATGTTTTGTTGTAATAGTCTTCCAATAGATATCAGGAAAGTTAAAATCCTCCATTAATACTAGCTCGTAGCTAACCTAGTTACCTGTTTGTAGAATGACTCATCCACTATGGGCCGGGGGGAATGATCGTTGGTGTGCTTTTTTACTTACGGAGGAGATGAACTGTGGATTTTAAGTATGAATCTGAAAAGATATATCAAGCCTTTTTGTTTGGATATGACTCCCAGATGCGCCTTATCATGTCTTTATCTTTATTGTTTGAAATGCACTTGCTATATGGTGTGATGCAGTGATGATGATAAACTTTCTTAATGAATTCAAAGCTTTTATTTGTTAACATCATTGTATTAGAAAAGGACAGTATTAGAGAACTGACAGGCAGGCCAGCTGCCATGAAAAGACCAAAACAGTAATAAAATAAAGTGCACAAGTGAAAAACAGTGAAACCAGTACAAAAAAAGAAAATTGAAGCTCCCCTCCTTCTGCGTGTCCCCTGCCTCCTGTTCTTCTTTCCCTTCTAGTGCTTTTTGCATGCATTTGGTGCTGCTGCATGGGTAGTGGAGGCCTGCATGGGCTACATTTGCCCAGTTCAACTAGATTAAGTCCTGGTTGCCTAAGCCATTCAACCACAGAACTTGCCAGTGGGTTCCTGGTCTACAGGACATGGTACATTACAATGAAGGGGACTCAGGAGGTGGTGCTGGCACAGGACATGCAGACGGAGCAGGAGCCTGCTCTCTCACCGCCATTAGCACAAACAGCCTCTCCACCACGTCTTTCTGCTGCACTGTATCTTATTCCCTCAAGCGACGTTCCTGCTCAAGAAACTGAGCTGCAAATCACTCCATGTGCCCTGCAGCTTCTCTTTGCCCTTCAACTTGCTGTGAATCCTTCTCCCTTCAGTTCTGAAGCTGCTGATTGGCTCTGTCCAGACTGTCCACCATAAGGTTGTCATAGACACACTTCCTCTTTGACCGCATGGAGTATGTCTACACTGCAATTAAAAATCCGCAGCTGGCCCATGCCATCTGACGCAGGCTTGCAGGGCTTGGGCTGCGGGGCTGTTTAATTGCAGTGTAGACGTTCAGGCTAAGGCTGTGGCCTGAGCTCTGGGACCCTCCCACCTTGCAGTGTCCTAGAGCCCGGAACACAGCCCAAGCCCAGAAATTTACACTGCAATTAAACAGCCCCGCAGCCCAAGCCCTGCAAGCCTGAGTCAGATGGCATGGGCCAGCCACTGGTGTCTAACTGCAGTGTAGACAGACCCATTGTGACAGTGCAACAATGCTGGCCTGTGGCTGGCCTGCAGAGGTGGAAGGGCCTGAAACCAGAAATGAAACAGTACATTATTGTCTCAGTATTTCAGAAAAGGTTTAGTATAACATCAGCAGAAGAGCCTTTGGAATCTCAAGGCCAAAAAATGTAAAATTCTGCTTCAGTATATTCTGAGAACAACAGTTCAGTTCCCAGATGCTCCGTGGGCACAACTGAGAGTTCAGCAGAGTATGAAGCCTTCACACATAATGGTAAGGTGAAATTTAGAAACGAGATACCTTTAAAAATTGCAGCCGTGTGGGGGAGAGAAGAGGATGGTACACTTGCCGTGATTTACTATTTATGGTTTCACAACCCTTTCAGGCATTCAACATTTTGAAGGACATAATTCTGGAGATTCCCGAGTGGCAAAGAAATACTGTATTCTAAGCTACCAGGGGCAAGCCAGCTATGTATGCTAAAGAGGTTTTCAAGTTTATGGTGACCAAGCAACACATCTATGAGTGAAGTGGGGTGGTGACCTACAGAGAAGGGCCTGAAAAGTACGCCCTCCCCTTCCTGCCTGAAATGTGACTACCCATCTGAGTTCCTACTATGGGAGACGTTTGCAACTATCAGCACCCAGGATTGGATGAAAATTCATGGGGGAATCAACAGGATGCTGCACTAGCTTCCACGTGGATTACTGTCTTCCTGTAAACTACTGAAACTTTTCTGCATTCTTGCAGTTACCCCAGTACAGCTACAGCCTACAATACCGCCTGCTTGCACTACATCTATCTATGGACTACAAGCAATTACCCCAGACAAAACAGACTCTCGATACTGCACACATGAACTAGACACATACCACAGGGACTGCTGGGGCTCATAATAAGGACTGCATCACCAAAATTACTCCCACACACACACACCTCCAAAGCATACTTTGGTAATAAAGAACTGAATAGCATTCTTCCCCCTCCCCCCTTCCTGGCACATTTCTGGAGTGCACACAACCCCCTGGTGTATTTTGGACAGTTAATTCATTACCCATGAATTACATTCCCCTCTGGCCCCAGTACAGTTTACAGGTGGCTCATTATGGTGTGGCCTGGCCAATTTGTAGAGTGTGGCATACTACAAGGGAAGACAATGAAAGGCTCCTACTTTTAACACCCCAGCATATCTTTGTAACTATGTGCGAGTATCTAGTAAAAATGGCTTTATAACTGCTTGTTTAACTGTTGTTTGCCCTTCCTGAAATCCATTTTGAATTCCACATCGTGAGGGAGCTGCCAAAACGCTGGCTTGCATTCCACTGTAAGCAGATACATGTTGCTACCCAAGCTTGAAATTGCATTGGGTCATAAACTGGAAATCCCCCCAATTCGTATATTAATAACAACAAACATGGAGCCAGAAACTTACCAGGCTCCAGGGCTACTTCTGTCTCTTCTGTTTCCACCGCCAGTTCCATGGCGGGGTACTCCTTCAGCACATCATCAAACAGCTCCTCTGAGTATGGACACAGGATATGCTGTAGCTGCTTTAGCAGCGAAGCCTCCTGGGGACTGGCAAGAGCACAAAAGTCTCTTTGCTAGCTTGATCTGGCAACTGTTGGCTCCTGCAGTGCCATTTTAGACATGGGTCAGAAGGTCACCATTCTGGCTGATCAGGCTATCATGAACCACTGGGGGCTCGGGGCTCAGTGCAGTTCCCAGCACCTGGCCAAAGTCCATGTAAAAGAGGGAGGATGACGGGGAGGTCCCAAAGGCTACTCTTGAGATAGAAAGGCCAAGAAACAGTGGTCTATGGGATTAAGGGATAGTGTGTCCCAGCAAACGTCATCGAAATTGGTATAGCTCCCTCCAAAAGTTTCAGTTTTGACAAATCGGCATTTTCCAATGAAAAAAACATATCGTTGAAAAATTCCTGAGATGCTTTTAACTTTGTGACCTCTAACGCTTCCGCCCAGATTCACCAGCCAAACTCCCTTCTCTTCTTACCTCCACCAGCCACATTTGAAACTTAATTTACTATGAGTACATCAAAACTTAAGGCCTAAAATAAATGTGCACCGACAGGAGAAATGTGCATGTGGTACTTCAAATGACTTTTTTTAATATGATGGTATGTGAACCAATAAATTTTAGGAAACACTGGTGTAGAGATCCCTGGAATTACTATAATTGTAAATTGATTTTATATTGCCACACATTGTACGTGCTACGCAGTAGAATCCCTTTTCAGTAGCTGGTAGTGTTGCTACTGGCTGCACAATATCCAAGGTTGATTCTTGTATTGAGAACGTCTAGGGTTTCAGCTATGGGTTACAGAGTTATGAACCTATCTAGTTAGGAAGTTAATTGGCACATGTGTTTTCTCTGTAGGGAATGATCTCTTTCTGGTTGCCGTCCATGAGCTGGGTCACGCCCTGGGCCTGGAACACTCCAATGACCCCAGTGCTATCATGGCTCCTTTCTACCAGTACATGGAAACACACAACTTTAAACTCCCACAGGATGATCTCCAAGGAATTCAGAAAATCTATGGTGAGCAACATTATCCATATGTTTATTTATACTGGGCCCCAGTGTGCTGCTGGGTATCTTACAGACACACAAAGGGTACTGTTCCTCCCCCACAGAGTTTGCAGTCTATGAGCCAGATTCTCTCCTGTGGCAGGGAGGGTGGGGGGCCATCAGGAAGCTGGTTACAGCTCCCTGGTTCTCATCCTGGCTCCAGCCCCAGGGGACTGCTCTAACATTCACCAGCTGACAGCTGTCACTAAGGTGCTGCCCACCAGCTGGGATAGCCAAAGCATCATGATCTGGTCACTCCTTCCTACCTCTATATTCCCCTTACACCAAGGGCAGTGGGAGTGAAATGTAGGAGCCAACTACACCAGCTGTATGCCTGCTGGGAATACCCCCCATACTGGGGTTATGCTCCCTTCTTGTCACTCAGGTGGTTCAAAAGAGTGGAGCAGGCCAGAGAACCTGGCCATAAGATTAGACACAAGGACAAAAAGCTATATGAGGGGTGCAGTGGGAGTAGGGAAAGGGCTAGCTGGCAAGAATTTGTGGTTTCTGGATCTGCTTGTGGAATTTGGGCTCATTTCTTTAACATTTTAAAGAACTAAAGTTCTTCTTCGAATGATTGCTCATGTGAATTCCAGTTAGGTGTGTGCGTGCTGCGTGCACAGCAGCCGGAAGATTTTTCCCCTTGCAGTATCCATAGGGTTGGCCTGGGCACCCCCTAGGGTCGCACCTTCGTGGTGCTCGGTATAGTGCCCTGTTGACCCACCACCCCCTCAGTTCCTTCTTACCGCCGGTGAGAGCTAGCTGGAACGTCCCATAGCTCTTGCCTCGGCAAGCGCTTTTTTGGCAGTGTCCACTTTTCGGTGTATATAGTTCTACTTAGTAGTAGTTTAGTAGTTGTAGTATTAGTAGTTAGTTCATAAGTTTCCTTTCGGGAGGGTTTCTCCCGCGCCCCCCACCAACACTCCCCCGGAACCGGGGCATGCCTCAGTCCCTGGGATATGAACTCTGTGAGGACTATGGCATATCTATGCCCAGGATCGACCCGCACACCTCCTGTTTGAAGTGTCTCCGGGAGAGCTACCAAAAGGAGAAGTGCAGGATCTCTGAAGGTTTCTCCCTAGGACCTTAAAAGACCGAGAGCAAAGGCTCAAGATCCTCCTCACAGAGGCTGCACTCCGGCCTCAATCCACTCCAGGGTTGGCAGAGCCCATGCCAAGCACCTCCTTAGCGGTGCGGAGTGCACTGGCACCGACGCTGCGTGAGCTGGTGTGGAGGAAGGACTCCAAGGAGACTCGGCACCGCCACGGCTCCGCCCATAGGCAGCCTTCTGTGAGGTACCAGTCTCAGTCCCCGGTGCCCCAGAAGAAGAGGAGACCAGAGTGGGGCCGCACTCCCCCATCCAAGCCCAAGGAGCCTGCGGCAGAGAGACCCAAACCGGGCCACGTTACCTCAGCCCCGCTACCTCCCAGGGTCTCGTCGACTCCTGCCCCCCTGGGGGTCCAGTCGAGTCTGGGCCCTCACCGCTCTCCAGACCAGCATGGCAGAGAGCTTTAGCTCCCCTCTATGCTGGAGGCATTTGAGGTGGCTCGGGACCTTATACACCTCACGGTGCCATCCTCCCTACAGAGAAGGGACAAGTCGCCGGTGACTGCCCGACCCCCGTTTCCGTAAAGAGGCAAACCGGTGATGATGGTGCGCTGATCTCCATCTGCTGCACGCCTCTCCCCAGCATGGGCCACCTGCATGGGGGAGCCGCACCAGTCCCCCAGCACCACTCGCCATCACCGTGGAACACCGCTCCTCCGTGGTTCACCTTCTCGGAGACCTCGGAAGCGGAATCCCACTGCTCCAATAGGACCAGGAGCAGAAGGTCCAGGTCCCGGCGTGATCGCCAGCCCTGTCTGGCACTGTGGCCTGCCCAGTGGCAACCCCTGGCTCAGAGGCCCTTCTGGATGCCCTGGGCTTACCAACAGAGCCAGGGACAGAGCCAGGGATCAAGATCCAGATCGGTGTCAGTGGCATCGGCATCCTTTGTCCCTCCAGGGGCAGTGTTGGCACCGGCACCATCAGCAGCACCGATACCCCTGCCTTTGCCTGGAGCTCCAGCACCAGCATGGACACCGGCACTGTCGACAGCGTGGCGGTGGCGACCTTGGCACCAGCGACTGTGGAGGCAGTGACACGGCAACACAGGGTGCCACATGACCCCCTCGGTGCTGAGGGGAGTGAGCAAGGCCCATTACCAGGGCTTTCGTCCTCGTCGTCCCCAGATAAGGCTGTGGTGGGGACATTGACGGCCCCGGCCTTGGAGGACAGCAGGGTCTTACAGCAACTACTGTGGCGGGTGGTCCAGAACCTGGAGATCCAGGCAGAGGAGGTGATAGAGGATGCTGACCCCATGGTGGACATCCTCACCCCCTCTGGGCCTGCCTGCATTGCCCTGCCACTGATTAAGACCATCAATTAGACCACAAAGACCTTGTGGCAGACCCGGCTTCTTTGCCCCCTATGGCCAAGAGGAATGAAAAGTGGTACTTTGTTTCCTTAAGGGGGTATGAACACCTATATGCCCACCCACCCCTCTGATTCTCTGGTTGTTAACGCAGCCAATCAGCGTGAGCACCAGGGCTACCAGGGACCCTCCCCTAAAAATCAGGAGGCTAAAAAACTAGACCTATTTGGGAGGAAGGTCTATTCGATGGGGAGGTTGCAACTCCACATATCTAACCAGCAGGCCATCGTGAGCAGATACTCATATAACACCTGCAGCGCGATGGCCAAATTTGCGGAGTTGCTGCCGCAGGACTCCCATGCAGAATTCTCTGCGCTGGTGGAGGAAGGGAAGCTGATATCATGGGCCTCCCTACAGGCGGCGTTGGACGGGGCATATACAATGACTACAGGGGTGGCAATGAGGAGGAGTTCCTGGTTGCAGGTCTCTGGTCTCCCCTATGAGGTCCAGCAGACTATTCAGGACCTCCCCTTCGAGGATTCGGCCCTCTTTTCAGAGAAAACTGATAAAAGATTCCACGGTTTAAAGGACTCAAGGGCCACCCTCAAATCCTTGGGCCTCCATACCCCCACAACTCAGCGGAAGCATTTCTGGCCACAGCCTCCCCTGCGGTTCTACCAACCGCAAAACGAGCAGCACGGTCCTCGGAGGAGGACCAGGAGCATTAGGAAAAGACCACACCCATCCTCAGGCCAGGGTTCTGGCCAATCCAAGCTGTCTTCAGGCCAGAAGCAGGCCTTTTGAAGGCACGCTCGAGTATGATGCACCAGTGCCACGACTGGATCCATCTCTCCTTACCTTTTTGTCCAGACTATCCCCTTTCTACCCTGCATGGGCCCGTATCACATCGGACCGTTGGGTGCTCCGCATGGTAGAGAGGGGATATTGGCTCCTATTTTCTGCCCTCCAGCACTTCCACCCTCCTTCCCCGTCCCTCTTCAGGGACCCTTCTCATGAACAACTCCTCATACAGGAGGTGCATTCGCTCCTATTGCTGTGGAGAGTGGAAGAAGTTCCTCAGGAGCTGAAGGGCAAGGGCTTCTATTCCCGGTATTTCCTAATACCAAAAGCCAAGGCAGTCTCAGGCCCACCCTAGACCTGCGAAATCTCAACAGGTTCATGAAGAAACTGAAGTTCCTCATGGTCTCTTTAGCCTCCATCATCCCTTCCTTGGATCCAGGGGACTGGTACACTGCCTTTGACTTGAAGGACGCGTACTTTCACATAGCAATAACTCCATCCCACAGAAAATACCTCAGGTTTGTGGTGAGCAACAACCACTACCAGTTCACAGTCCTCCCGTTCGGCCTGTCAGCGGCGCCTCAAGTGTTTACCAAGTGCAAGGCAGTGGTGGCCGCATTCCTGCGCAGGCAACAGGTACAGGTGTTCCCGTACCTCAACGACTGGCTGGTTAAGGGCCGCTCCAGGGGTGAAGTGGAGGCACAAGTCGACTTTCATAAAAACTTTTGACAAACTGGGCCTTCTCCTGAACATGGAGAAATCTATGCTGTCCCTGGTTCAGTGGATAGAGTTTATAGGTGCGGTACTGGACTCTACACAGGCCAGGGCATATCTCCCAGAATCGAGGTTCCAGACCCTGGGTGATATCATTTGAAGTCTCAGGCAGTTCCCCACCACCACAGCAAGGAATTGCCTGAAACTCCTGGGACACATGGCCGCTTGTACCCATGTGGTGCAACATGCCAGGCTTGGACTCCGGCCACTCCAATCGTGGCTAGCCTTGGTGTAACGGCCGGTTCGGGACAGTTTGGACAGGGTCATGACTCTGCCTTGCCCAGTCCTCGACTCCCTCCTGTGGTGGCTCGACACACAGGTGGTGTGTGCGGGGGTCCCGCTTGGGACCAGAATCTGGTCCTTTCCAGACTGATGGGGCTGCTCTTTGAACCACTGGTGACTTGCTTTCTGGTCTACCTCTCGTACAAGGTGGTGTTTGTGGTAGCTATAACCTCAGCCATGAGGGTGTCTGAGCTCAAGGCCCTAACATCAGAGCCTTCCTACACTGTATTCTACAAAGACAAGGTTCAGCTCAGGCCGCAACCAGCATTCCTCCCTAAGGAACCAGGACATCTTTCTCCCAGTTTTCTATCCTAAGCCGCACACTAAGCAGCAGGGACAAAGGCTTCAGTTGCTGGACGTTCGCCGGGCGTTAGCCTTTACATTGAACAAACCAAACCATTCCGGAAGTCCATTCAGCCGTTCATCGCAGTAGCAGACAGAATGAAAGGACTCCCAATCTCCTCCCAAAGGATTTCTTCATGGATCACGTCCTGCATCCAGGAATGCTACAACCTGGCGAAGGTGCCTGCTCCTCCACTCACAGCTCACCCCACCAGGGCACAAGATTTGTCAGCAGCATTCCTGGCACACATGCCAACCAAGGAAATATGCAGAGTGGTGACATGGTCCTCCATTCATACATTCACATCGCATTATGCCATTATCCAGCAGGCCAGAGACGATGCAGCCTTTGGTAGAG